AAATTGGTTGATTGATTGTGTTTTAATTGTTGTTGATGGTGTTGGTGATGTTGTGTAATAGATGGTGATTTGACTAGTGTGGGTATGTGACATTGTATGGAGTCTTGTGATTTGAATGTGCTCGATATGGACTTAAGATTACCGGCACCAACACGTGGTGAGAGTAACTTATTTGGATGGTTGCTTGAAGAAGTTTTACTACTGTTATGATGTCGCGGTGTTGTGTTGGTGGAAAACTGATAAATTTGATGATGATACCTTGAACGACCGCGACGTGGCAATGATTTTTGTTCGGACATTGGTGATAGATCGGAGGATGTGCTTGATTGTGCTCCATGGTAGATGATACCTGTGGGTAGGGAAAAGTTTTTTTGCAATGATTGATCAACACAATACTCGTTACTTATTGTTTTTGTATAAGGATAGATACTATATATGTATAAATATAATTCATGATTAATTCAAACATTGCAGTTTTCTTTTTTGTTTTTTTTGGAAAAGAAAGTAAAATATATTTACGAGCAAGTGTAAGTTATGTGTATTGATTGTGTGATGTAATGCGATTTACAAAAGATTTTTATTTATTTATTTATTTTCTTTTTTCAATTAATAAATAAAAACAGACAACCTATTGTATACGAGTATGCAATTTAAAAAAAATGAGTGTAAATCTTGTTGTTGTTGTTGTTGTTGGTATTTATTTTCTTCCTTTTTACAGTATTCCTGCTGTTATGTCTGGTAGTTATTTTGCTATTTAAGAGGTCATGTTGGTAAAAAAAAATTTATCGCATTGTTTATATATATAATTTTTTTTTTTTTTTTTTTTTTTTTTTTTTTTTATTACTACAGATATGTTATTGATATGTTGTGATTTGAAAAATGTTGTAAAACTCTTGATTCTGTGAAAGAACAAATTTAAATACAATAGAGAAAGTTTTCCGTAGTATATAGTTTAAAAAATTATTTGAATATGTTTAATACAAAACATTCATTTGTACAAAGACATTGCACAGATCCAAAGTCTTTATTACTATTTATCTTTAACTTATAATTTATACTATGAGATAAATTATAGCACGATATATGTAGAGCAATGATAGAAATGTTCTTTTTAAAAATATATATTTAAATTAATTCATGAAATATTCATTTTTAATAAATGATATTTTCAATTACATAGTGTGCCACTGATGTTATAAATCAGAATATAACTTCAAAAGCAGCTGATTTGATTGGTAAGACTTTTGTCGATAAGTAAATAATTATTACTTTCACATAAAGTAGACAAACAGGAAGCGGACGGACAGAAAAACCTCAAGCGAGTAAAAAAAAAATTGCAGATAACAAGGTAAACTTTGAAAATTGTTTTTAAGAGTCTTTAATTTTCAATTCAATTTTCTCATTGTAATTGTTAAAAAATAAATATTCAAATAATTTTGAATTGAATGTAATTTAATTTTAAGAAAAGAAATCTGTACTTACTATGCTTAATTTTGCCCTCAGGTTGATTGGACGACTCCGTTCGGCTGGAAGTTAACTGATCGGGATCAGATTCGGATTCTTCGCTTTCTGGTTCTGTTTTGCGGGAATGACGTCGCCGGTTTTTGGAAGACTATATAGCATAAAAAAAAATTAAAAAAAAAAATAATACAAAAAAAATACAAAAAAAAAAAAAAAAAAGACAATATACAAAGCAAATTTCAATTAAGTTTGATCATTTTCGATTTCG